GATGAAACCCTCAGTATATGGCAACCTAATCTTTGATAAAGCAGACAAAAATATACATTGGGGAAAAGAATCTCTCTTTAATAAATGGTGCTGGGAAAACTGGTTAGCGACATGCAAAATAGCGAATCAGGATCCCTACCTCTCACCTCTCACCTCTCACAAAAATTCACTCAAGATGGATAACAGACTTGAACCTAAGGCATGAAACCTTAAGAACTCTAGAAGAAGATGGCGGGAAAACCCTATCAGACATTGGTCTAGGCAAAGAATTTTTGAGGAAGACTCCCAAGGCTATCACCGTAGCATCAAAAATAAACAAATGAGATTCTGATCAAATTGAAAAGCTTCTGCACAGCCAAGGAAACAATCATTAGAGCAAATAGACAACCCACAGAGTGGGAGAAAATATTTGCTCTCTACACTTCTGATAAAGGTCTAATAACAAGAATCTATCTAGAACTTAAAAGATTTAACAAGAAAAAAATCAAACAACCCCATCAAGAAATGGTCAATGGAAATGAACAGAAACTTTTCCAAAGAATACAGAATAATGGCCAGCAAACATATAAAAATGCTCAACATCTCTAATAATTAGAGAAATGCAAATCAAAACCACAATGAGATACCACCTAACCCCAGCAAGAATGGCCTATATCAAGAAAACGCAAAACAACAAATGCTGGTGAGGATGTGGAGAGACAAGAACACTCTTACACAGCTGGCGGGACTGTAAATTAGTGCAACCTTTCTGGAAAAGAATTTGGAGATATCTAAAACAGCTAGAAATAGAAATACCATTCAACCCAGCAATAGCATTGTTGAGCATCTACCCAAAAGAGCATAAGACATTCTATTACAAAGACATCTGCACCCGAATGTTTATGGCAGCACAATTCAAAGATTGCACGGTCATGGAAACAACCCAAGTGCCCATCAATTCACCAGTGGATAATTAAATTTGGTATATGCTCACAATGGAATATTACTCAATCCTAAGAAATGATGGTAAGCTTGCACCGTTTATGCTATCCTGAATTAAGCTTAAGCCCATTTTCCAAAGTGAGGTGGCACAGATCTGGAAAATGGGCTCCACGTCTACTCCCCATCAAATTGGTACTGACTGCCTAAAGCTATGTTGCTCAGATGGTGGGAGTGCTCACCAGGGTTTCCGGGTGGGGAGGCCACAGCTTAGGGATGTGGTGAGCATTGTGGACGGGAAGGGCATACCTCTAACCCATCTTAGGGAGAGGCAAAGAAATACAATGTAACCAAAATGTCAAAAAAACAACAAAACTTTTATCAAGTGCGGGGCAGGTGGGGAGAGGGGGGGAAGTGGGTGTACTTACATACTTACATAATTGGTGTGGTGTGCACCAATTGGGGGTTGGGCATGCTTGAAGTGCTGGCACAGAGGGGAGGAGGGGTGGCAGGGGTAATATATGTAACCCCAACAATATTTGTATCCCCATAATATAATGAAATAAAAGGAGGAAAAAAAAAGAAAAGCAAGTTATTTTTATACTTGGTCACAAATGCAATCTGTGTGTGTGTGTGTGTGTGTGTGTGTGTGTGTGTGAGTGTGTGGTATACAGTCAAGTGTCACTTAACACTGGAGGTATGTCCTGAGAAATGCCTTATTAGGTGATGTCATTCTTGTGTGAACATCACAGAGTGTACTTACACAACAAACCTAGATGGTGTAGCCTACTGTACACCTAGGCTAAGTGGTATACCCTATTGTTGCCAGACTACAAACCTGTCAGCGTGTTTCTCTGCGGACAATTGTGGACAATTATAACACAATGGTAAGTATTTGTGTATTTAAACATATTTAAATATAGAAAAAGCAATGCCTTTCCCTAGGACAGACATTGCAAAGACTGTGATGTCACCAGGCAATGGGAATTTTCAGTTCCATTAGAGTCTTATGGGACCACCATCGTATGCAGCACACGGCTGCGTGTGAAAGTGAACACAGTGTTTACACGATTATGTTCTTGGCTTCCTAATTGAGATAGTAGAAAATAGGTTCATCAATATCACCTATGTTTTCACAAGACAGAATATTAATTTAACATTGCTCTTTTGCTAACAGGATTGGTGTTGACATTCGTGAAATTGATGTTTATTTTACATGTATATGAAATGAAGGCTTTAAGGAATTATTAGTATAATTTTTTGACCTCAATTATCCTGATAGTTCAAATATAATATTCTTTACATCCTGGATAAGCTCTATGAATGAGTCACTCTACTACTTCATTATCCCTCTTTTTTACAGAGAACTTAAATATTTATGTATTATCTATATTGATAAAGGAACCTTAATATGAACACACAGAGGTGGGGAGGGGTGAGTGGAAGGGATTAGTGGTGAAGCTCATAGTGGTTGACACAAACATGAGGATTCTCTAATTCATTTAAATCCTTCATTATATTCCATATTATCTCTTTGTTTAAATGTGTTCACACATCATTGCATACAACTGGTGCTCCAGTATTATGTGCCAGGCATGTTGGGTGACTTCTCATATCCTTGCTGCATATGAGCTTTATACAGAATTTGAGAAGTACTAGAGTATGTTAGGTGAGTTAACTGGTCAGTTCATTGAACAATTTAATTAATTTAATTTTTTTTAGAGCTAACATTTTCCCCCTAAATAATTAAATACAGTTGATTTAATTTAAAAACACATGTTAGGCCCAATACGGCATTCAGTCTGTTCAGTTATACTGTTCATCAAATTTTGCATACTTAAATGGAGAACAAAGACAAAACCAATTTCCCTAGGCATTTGCCTTAACCTAGCTGGTTATACTCATCTCATGGGATCATTTATGGTGGTGAAAATGAGTGTTCGTCATTCCCAGGCTTTGAATAAGGAGAGTTTTACTCCATAATAGAAAGCAGACACTCCTTGAAGACAGCCTGTCTGGCCCTGAGTTCCTAAAGGAAAGGGCAGAAGTGAGGAGAGAAGAGCCCGTGAGTTTCTTTTTATTGTACCAGGTCAGTGGCCGACTCTGACGGGGTGGGAAGGAAAAGGCTGTGCAATGCTCTTGGCTCCAGGATCCTCAGACTCCACATACACTTTTCTGGCCACTTTGGCAGAGAAATACTGAAGTGACAGAAATTCCAAGGAACCTATAGCCATGGAAAGTGGACATGATTGCAGTAACCAGTTGAAGATAACTGAAGGGAACTCCAGGTGTTTTGGTCACCTATAACATCTCTGGAAATAATTAGCACTCTCACATTACTGCAAACTTTAAAAAACTCTAGGTGCTTGAATTTTGTGATTTAATTAGACTTGGCGGGCAAATGTATGCGTGCACACATGCAAATACACATGAATATATGTATAAACATACATATGTATATGGATCCCAGGTGATTTCTAATGAAGTTCCTCTCACAACACAATTGATTCAGCTTTGCAGACCAATGTCATTGTGTCCTTTGTTCAGCACTCAGGAAACTCAGTGCTGTTGTTCTTAAACTTCAGGATGCATTGAAATTACGTGGAGGGCTTGTAGAAACACCTACTGATAGGTCTGTCCCCTGAGTTTTTAATTTAGGAAATCTGAAGTAAGCCTGAGAATTTGAATTGTTCCCAAGTTCCCAAGTGATGCTGTTCTTTTAGGTTGGGGCCACACTTTGAGAACTACATGTATGAAGAATGAATGAGTTTCATGGATTAACATGATGATTTTTCCAAGTTCACAAAGTTAAAAGAGATGGGACTTGAAACTAATGATCTGATTTTAAGTCCATTGATTTTTTTAAATAAACTAGTGTGTTACACTTTACAAATTTAGTTTGTATCTATTATCTCAAGTGTTATTTGAAATAACGGCAGACAGGGGCAATTATTGTATAAATATGAAGAAATTTAAGCTCAAATAACTGAAGTGACTTGTACCTGGCCATATAGCAAGTAAATAAAAGATATTAGAAATTAATCAAAGTACCTATCTTCAGAATCCAAGTTTTTCTGTCATTCTAAGTTGTTCTAATCAGCCAAAATGAAAGGATCTCATAATTTAGACACCTTTAAAAAATTTTTATAATATACAAAAATGTTTTATTGACTAAGTTCTCCTTCAACAGGATGACATGATATTAAAACTACTTATATGACTAAAATTTGAAGCAATAATTAGTAATAAATGTTTTTGCCTTAACTTCAGATTCTGTATTATTAAAATGAATTAAATTATGCAAAATCTTTTCATATCCTGGAAATACATTTATTTGGAAGGTTTTTAACTTCTAAAATATCTTTAATCTGTTCTAAGTTGATTGGTCGTATAAGGATTACTTAATTTATTTAAAATTTGATTCTGTTTTTGAAATACCAATATGGAGGCACATATGGTTTCTTTTCAGACTATTGTATGTTTTCTTCTAGACAGTCAAAATATGCATATCGTCTAGAAGAGATGTAAAAGGCTTTTAGTTTAGGGGCAATTTTTTATTTACTGTGTCTTTTTCACTCTCTTTTTGGATTTGACAAAGTAGAAATGTTATTCCTTTAAAATCTGTTTGATTGCTGTGCCTGCCTGGGGCCTCATCTTTCTATATACACCTTAAAACACACATTTGTCCCTCTCAAGGGGCTCTATCTCTTAGCTGACATCTGCAGACACTTCAGTGAAGAATATCCAGTGGTTATACCAACTTCTCCATCCGTATGGAAACTGCCCCAAACTTAGGAACACTGACTGACAGCTCCTTTAACATCATCAAAAGAGAGAGTTGCATTAGTGTGTATTTACACACACACACACACACACACACACACACACACACACACAAACTCTTATTGAACCAGAAACCATCAAAATTTCCATTTTGACGACCCACAAGATATATTTCTGGAAATAAAGTATGAGCTAGCTACATACATGTTACATACAGATCTGTTTTAATATTTAAAACATAAATAAATAGATATTATCCTGTCCCAAACAAAAATAACGATGACCAAAGAAGACCTGCAAACTGTATGCACAGGCTTTTAATAATGAGACAACAGGATAATTAACTTTTGCAGGACAGAAACACAAACATATTTAATTTCAGTTAGATAGAAGTCATTTAAAAATACTGAATAGTTGTTATTATTTTAAACCATAAGCAAATAGCTCGATTTTCTTTTAAGATCTAATTATGCTTTTGAATTACTATGCACTTCTATTTGGTGCTTCAGTGACTCTTTTTGACCATCAACACTTCATAGCCTGAACGATAGCCAGCCGAGAATTTGTGCCTGCGGTTGCACGCCCAGGGCCGGCCACGCGCGGCCTCCGCGAAGGCGCGGGCTCTGCTCTGCAGGGGACACTCCGTGCTCTTGCCAGCTGTACTCGCGAAGCTCGTTCTTCAAATTAAGGCCATGTTTGTTCTTCCTAATCATTGCAGTATTTCTTCTGTTTTTTATAGATTATTTTCTCAGACCACGAGAAGAGAATTGTCTTTACTCATCCTCAGCTGTTACATTAATAGGACCAAATTTGTAATTTTTCAGTTTTCTTTGGAGTCGTTTTAAGGAGAGGAGAACAAAAAGATGGATCAGAATGTCTGTTGAGGAGGGTGGAATCAGGGAATTAACTAAGCTGCTTTGGGAAGAGTCCAGTTCTTTTCATGTATTTCTCTCCTTCAGTGGCCTCAAACCAGCAGCGTCATCACCGCCTGGACAGTTTATAGAAATACACATTCTTGGGTCCCACCCCAAAGCTCCTAATTCGGAAATTCTTGGGTTAGAATCCAGTAATCTGTGTTTTCGTAAATTTTCTAGTTGGTACTAAATGCATCCTTAAGTTTTAGAACCCAGCAATTTTTTCTTGGCAAAATAAAGGACCTGGAAGGCCTCACTGTAAGCTTCTCTGCTATTTTCTCAATATCACAAAAATATAGCAAAAGCATTATGAAAAGCGAGCTTGCATGGCTGATCTAAAGGGAAATTCGATGATATGATTTGGCCAGTTCAGATCAGGTTCTCCTATTTTGTTTCAGAGGACACTTCGGAGTGCTTCTACTCATCCCTTAGTAAGACTAAAAATGGCATGTTGCCACATTAGCTGGAGTATGATAGCAGTAGACACTAAACAGCACAAACAGCACTCAAATAATGTATGGTTCTATGACGTTTTCTTTGCATTCTGCTGTGGAAAAGTTTGAGAAGGGATGAGACATGACAGGAATTTTTCTAATCTTTAGGTAATAAGTCCTAAGGGAAATTGTATATAAACATTACCAAATTGTGTTGAAATATGTACACAATTTATTTTTTTCCCCAGTAAACTTCCATAGTCATTTCTGTAAATTCCCTTTCTGTTGTGGAATGCCCTTTGATTTGCAGACATGTATTATTTATAACCAAGAATATAAGCTTTCAGAAATTGTTGACTCTAACAAACAAACTTCAAAGTTCTTAACATATGGTTGTTGTTGATTGAATTTATCTATCATAACAGGAAACCAAGATAAGGTTTCATTCAGCAAAAAAACACTATGAAGTATCACTTTATGGAAAGCCATTAGCTAAGACTCTATGAAGTAACACGAGAAATGCAAATAACAACAATATAATTAAACTGTCAAATGTGATAGAAAATTTATGTGAAAATGCATGTAGCCCTAGTTTTCTTTCCTTTCACAGCCCCTGGTTTTTAAGGCAACATCAAAACAGTTACTTCTGCGACTATTTATAACCTGTCAGGAGAAAAGACTAGAGACCATGTGGCTATGAGTCCCTGAAGGAAAATGTTCGTTTCAATGCAGCATTTGATGTAAATATTGCCTGTTTTCTACTTCGCAGGATGGATTGTTATGCTGATAAGTTTAATTGTGTTAGAAACATAATTATCTAAAAGCCACTGGCATTAAAACACCAGTGCATTTTTGTCATAGAGCTATAGATGTGGGATCGTCTTTAATGTAGGGGCATGAGTCTTAATACAACTATTGCTTTTTATGTGAAGGAGTAATAGCACAATAACAACACAATGCTTTAGAGGAAGTTTGATATAGTCGATGGGAGATATGTTAAGAGAGATTCTTATAGATGAATATTGCTATTTGTACTAAGCTGTGCAAAAATTGGAACATGTCTAAGTCATTATTGTCATTCACACACACACCATTTCCTCATTGGTTTTCATTTGGTTGTATTTACTGTACATTGAGATTATTTTATATATGAAATGGCAAAATATCTCTACATCGCTACAAATGAAACAACTACAACAAAAACCTTATTAGATCACATAATCCACACTGAACTAATATGATAGGGAATGTGAATATTCTGAAAAGAGGGACTTATTCTTAATGGGAATTAAATATTATTTGCCTAAGAAAAGAGATGTCAGATATGAAAGAGGTAGTTCAAATAATTATAGATGCAGAAGAGAGAGAAGGGATGTGCATATCTGAATATTTTATTTATTTAAAATAGAGTTATTTTAGCAACCCATCAACTGTTGTTATGAAATAAATACAAAAATCCATGTTTACACATCAGTTTTGTAATGTATTCTTTTACTTAGTTTCAATTTGCTTACTAATAAAACCTCAAATAATAGCTATTTTTACAAGGTCATTGTGAAGAATAAGTAAGATCTTATTTATACATATGATGTATACAAGTGCACATATAAAGTACCATTATTTCCAGGTTTTAGAAGAAAACATTTTTCATTATTTTCAGCTATGCAAAATGACCCTAATGCAACAGTGTAAGTGCCTCGTAGACAGACTTGTTTGAGTTGTGTACCTGTTAAGTGTTAGAAACATTCACCTGGGTCCCCTATGCTCATTAATTATATTCAGATGGATGATGCTTCACAGTTTCCAGAAGTAACAATGCATGTTTAATTTCCATAACAAAAACTGATGATCTAGAAAAAAGGGAGAGAGGGAGGAAGAAAGAAAGGAAGGAAGGAAAATGAAAGAAAAAAAAGAAAGAAGGAAAGGTAGATTTCATTTTTTTAATCATAATAAAAGAGCATGGCTAGGCCTATTTAGCTTACCAAAACCTGAGTCATCCTTGACGCCCCCCCCACGCCATGTATATCCACTTCCATTCTATATCCCTCACACCCCACCTCCATTTCATAATAATACTGCCTAAAATCCACACTAAAAAGCAGTGACTTAATACAGCACACATGTTCACAGGTGATGCTGTGAAAGTAATTTCTTGTGGTTCCAGCTGGATGTCTGTTGTTTTCCCTAGGAGAGTCCTTACTAATTGTCTTTTATTTGTCTTGGGGAAGTTGTCACTGAACCTTGGTTCGTTCGTTATAAAGGAGGGAGGAGAAGAATCCTTTTGGAGTGCTTTCTCATGTTTTCCCCAATTTCGCGTTGACTCTTCTAATCAACATTGTTGCTTGATATATGGGACTGGGAATCAGGATAAGGACCCAGAATCTGAATTAGTACACTCAATCAGCTGAGGAATCTCCATCTGCTGAGTCCCTCACAGAGCTTTCTGATACAGAGCTTTCCTTCTCTGCTAGGCAGTACAGGGGAAGTTCCTATCTTCTGAATAAAACATGCAGCTGGACCCATGTGTCTGCATTCTACTGTTTCCTCATCACACACAGATGTAAAGAAGAATTATGTTAATTTACACATCCAAAAGAGTGTAACTCGACATAATAGTTTCAGTGATCATGTGACTCAGCACTTTGGATTAATGGCATAGTTAACTTGGGGGCTTTTATAATAGTGTAGATCGTCACCACTTGCCACACACATACTTTCAATGCCAGCAGGACAGAGAGACACCTGCATGCTACTCTGAAGAGGTCTATTGATTTAGGCTTGTTTATTCTGAAAACTCTATTGACTATGGAATTTTAATATACTTATAAAACATTACTTTTATCTTCAGTGATATAAAACACAGTAAAACCTGGGTTATTACCTCCAGCAACTAATGGTATTTGTAGAGGCTTTTGAAATGTTTATTAGGTGATACTATTCCATCTCTCACTGTTAGAGTATTATGAGCCTAAAACTAGTAACACTGCTGAGGTGAAATCTATAAAAATAGCAGGCTTCTTAGAACTTTTAGGCAGTGGGTTTGACATTTTAGTGAGGAAATGCTAAGTTAGCTTACAAAAAGTCAATCCAATTTCTGTGCTCTTGGTTCATTTTGTTTGTCATCTAAGTGAGTCAAGATCAATAGGATCACCATGTTTATCTAATTTAAATCTGAGATATTGACCTGCAAATAGACAATTCCATTATCCTCATGGGCATGACTTCCCATTGGTGTCATCGGTACTTACAGAGCCTCCCTGGGATTTCTACTGAAAGGTTATGATAGCCTGTGTTCAATTCAGAGTGTTTACTGAATTCCTCCAACCATTCCTATGTGTACTGCATAAGAATGCATGGTAATAATATCAGTGTTGTAGAGTAATGTGGAAAAAAGGGTTACAATACGAATTTAGGGATTATACAGAGCTACGTAGAACATCCACTACAACAGACAAGATCAAATGACACAATGTGTTTGGGGCTCATGTACAATTTTCAAAACAGCAGGGCTTTGTTCTCAGCTCTTCAGTTCTTGCAGGCCTGTGAACTCTTTGTCAAGATGGGAAATGCAATCTTTTTACTCTTTCTGAAAATGTGAAAATCTTTTGAAGCTGAGTTTGCTCGTCATTACTGTAAATGGTAAGGAAGAGAAATGAAGGAATTTAGGCAAGAAATTTACAAAATCTTCTATAAAGGATTATTTAGGAAATTGATTAATTATTTTATGGGACTACAAGAGAATCATTAGGAGATTTGGTAAAAATTACCAAAGTAAGTTTGAGGAAGTATAGCAATAATCCAGTAGGTAAATCATATAATTCTATAAAAAACTTTTATGTAATAAGAAAATGTTTTTCCCATTTGTATTTCCATAATAGACCACCAATAGTGGCATTAGAAAAATGAATACAAACAAAAATACCAAAAATAATTTCCAGAGAAATCGATATATATCAAGATAATATCTATGGACAACAACAACAACAAAATGTGTCTTCTGTGATTTGTTTTTAGTTCCTAATGTCATGTGATTCACTTTGGCACCCTCCAAGTCACAAACCACACACACATTAAATTCAAAATTTGAAAGTAGTGGATTTACTCTTGTTGCACATCTCTCAACATCAAGCCTATTGTCTATTAATCATTAGTTCTCTTTCTGCAGATACTTTGAGATTTTATATCTTAGATTAGAGACTTGGATAGTAAATTTATTGGCTTATCCTCCTAGTGAATCAAACAATTTTAATTCATATCATTTAAGTGGCACTTTCAAGGCAATGTAGCTGACTGTATGAAGGGCACAAATCCAAACTTCAAGAGTAGTGCATTTTATGTATTTTAAATTCACAATTATTGTTCTAATTTCCAATTTTAAATGTGCTACTTTTTGCATCAATATTCCTTTGGGACTAGATAAGGGACTTTTTGCTATTGATTCCATGGCAACTAGTTGCTGCTTATGTGGCCTTGGTGTAGTTCTGTGTTCCCTTGTGAAACTGGGATTGTAAAAGTGCTCACTTTATCTGGGTTATTGTGATGATTGGCAAAATAATTCACGTAAAGTGCATTTGAAAAATGTATTCAGCATGCTAGCAAGAGTTTAGCCTTTTTATTGCACTTTATACTTTGTAAATTTGTTCCCATGTATTTTCTTGTTTGACCTTTTTATGAGCTTTATGAAGTAAACAAGATTGACTAGACTTACGGCAATCTGAGGGTGAAAGAATTGTTTAATATCTTTATTTCTAGAGGATCTGAGTAATCTTTTAAAAATAAAATCAATAAAACAAGGGTCATAGCAAAATTACCTGATTTTCAAGTTGCAGAATTAATTAGTAACAAACCAAGGACTAGGCTTCAGGTGCCTGGAGTTCCAGTCTACCTTTTTACTTGAACTCTATCCCTTCTAGAAAACCAGGGGTCTCACCTATGGTGAGTTGTACAATCATTTTATCACATATTACAATGTAATAATAATAGAAAGAAAGTGCACAATAAATGTAATGCTCTTGAATCATCCTGAAACTGCACCCCTCCCAGTCTGTGGAAAAACTGTCCTCCATGAAAACGGTTCCTGGTGCCAAAAGGTTGGGGACCACTAAAACAAAGGATTCTTAAAGTATGTAATTGTGTTCTATCCCAAAACCATGGGAAAACTTGTATGTATAACTACAAGTGAATTTTGATTAAAATTCTTAACAAAATATTCTAATTTTTACTTTTTAATCGATAAATACTTGAGAAATATTTTTGAATCAAATCTTTTTAAGTGAGCATTAATGATTGGGTTTTAGATAAAGAAGGAAAAACACATAAATTTTCATGATTGGCTACACATTAGACAGCTTATATTCCCAACTTATTTTTTTTTCCTCCAAAATATTAAAAAAAAATTGAAAGCTCAGTCAATTCTTCCTAATATGGAGAGTAGTTTTCAATGAAAACCCATCTTAGTATGGTTCCTGTATGCTTAGATAGCATGCAACTTTAGAGAGCACAGGCAAGGATGTTGTGCTAATGTCATGTGAAACGACAAACCCAATGTAAGACCCAGAAAGCACAGATTCTTTTTAATCTTCTTTGATTGTGAGAGAGAGGTTTTCCTCCATTCTTTGGCAGTTCCTCAATGCAACACAGAAGCTCTGCAGATCACTAATTAGAATAACAAGATCAGTAATATAATCAGTTAATTTGCATTATCTGTTTTGCCAGCTACTCTTCTATGTAGCAGGTGCAGTTGGTGGGAGGCACGGGAATTGGAGAAGACACAGACAAAACATGGTGTAGTCCCAGTTTAAATAGGTATCTCACTCTAGGCAAATTTCCCCAAGTGCTCCATCACAGTGCACTCATGAAAAAGTAGCCCGTAAAGTGCTTTAAGAGCGCTCTAAAGGGATTTCGAGAATTGCAAAGGTGTGGAAACAACTAGGTGCTCATCAATACATGAGTGGATTAATAAAATGTGGTATATGTATACCATGGAGTACTACTCAGCTTTAAGACACAATGGTGATGTAGCACCTCTTGTATTTTCCTGGATAGAGCTGGAACCCATAATACTAAGTGAAGTATCTCAAGAATAGAAAAACAAGCAGCACATGTACTCACCAGCAAACTGGTATTAACGGATCAACACCTAAGTGGACATATAGGCACAACATTCATCGGGTGTCAGGCAGATAGGAGGGGGAAGGAGGGGATGGCTACATACAAACATAATGAGTGTGATGTGCACTGTCTGGGGGATGGTCACGCTTGAAGCTCTGACTCGAGAGGGGAGGGGCAGCATGGGCAATATATGTAACCTTAACATTTGTACTCCCATAATATGCTGAAATTTAAAAAAATGGGAAAAAAAGAAAGTGTAAACAAGCAGGACATGTAATATACAGATAGAAAATACTTTGATTCATTTTCTTTTGGATCATTTAATCCACTTGATGACTAATTTTCTTTCTGCCCTTGGGCAGACTCAGTGCTTTTATTAAGGGGGGGAGTTGGAAATTGGTGGTTGAAGGAGGAAGATCATTTATAGCTAATCAACAATTCTCTGATTAATTGTACAGAATTGTTTACCATAAAATTATTTCCTATAAAAATTTCAGTATATTAATTATTATACAGTCCGATGTAAGACTAAAATCATTCTTTCTTCATTTAAAATTAAAGCTTCTTTCCTCTCCCAGGCTCAGGCCTGCGGGAGGCTGGAAGAGGCAGTGGAAAAGGTAAACCCGGCAGACTTCGCATCCGCGCCGTTCTCCAGCGCTTCCCCTGCCGAATCCACGTGTTAGGCTACCTGCACCTCCGCCAGGATTTCAAATAAGAGAAAGGAGGAGATATAAGAGACAAGGAATGGTTTCTATTAACTTAAATCCATCTGTCATTGGTTAGTTTTCTCTGGCTATGGGAAATATTGATTGTTTTTTTTCTTTTATCTCTTCCTTCCTGGCCTCTCCATAAAAAAAATAAAAATACCTTAGCTGGAGATCTCCTACCTGCAGTTCCTCTGGGACAGTGGCTGTGGACAGGCTCTCTGGCTGGCCACCGCAGACAGGCCCCTTGGCTCCCAGAGGTCTCGGGCTCCCAGCGTCTCTGCGCGTCTGCGCGTTCGCCCTCACGCCGGCCCGTGGAGACCGCGCGAGCCGCTCGGCGCGCTCGTCCTCTCCGAGCGCTCGCTTTCTCTCGGCCCATATGAAAAATACACATTCTTTGATCCTAAAAATTCTCAGGGAATAAAGACTTTCTCCACCATGAGAGGAGCTGGCTTGTGGCAGGCGGTCATCTCCTTTGCAAATCTCTGTGGTAAAGCGCCTCCTTTATTTGCCCTTAGCACAGGAAGTGAGTGGGAGGGAAGTCCATTTCCCGTGCGCACGCGTGGAGGGCGAATGTTCTGTGTATGAGAAAAGAAACTAGGCGTGCTTTCTAGTATGGACATTGGCATTATTTGATTTATCTGAAAAACAATATTTTCACTATAGGAGAGAGGCAGGAATTTTTTGGTTCCCTTCACAATTATTTAATCCCTCGTGTTACAGACACGTAATTCCAAAGACCAAAATGTGCCAACTGTCTTTCACTGAATGCTCCCAGGAGCATTTTCCGTATCAGCCCGTCACCGCTCACAGAGGAGGCCGGGCGGGAGGTCAGCGGGACTCGCGCGCGCGGTGCTCGCGGGAAGCGCGGCGCGTCGCCCGTGCCGGGTTTGCGGTTTGCGGTTTGGGGTTTGCGGTTTGGGGTTTGGGGTTTGGGGTTTGGGGTTTGGTGCGGGCGCCGGGGAAGGGGTGCAGGCCCGGAGAAGCTATTCCACAGATGCCATTGAAGTAAATGCTGGAAACTGGAGAGGACGACCCTTAGATTTTGCCAGACAAAAATTATTTTCTTAACTAAAAACACAAATGGGGAGAGTTCTTTGTGTTTGAGTTAAAAGATTAATAACATACAAATAGATTTTCATAATTTCCTTCCTAGTGAACACTAAGGACATAGATAAACAGGAATCTGAAGAAAATGTACAGCATGGCTTTCCTATATCTGGAATCTTGTAGGTCTGGGTTTAAATTCTGGCTCAGTCACATACAAACTACATAAGACAATCAAACTCTGTAAGCCTTATCTACCTTGTTCATAGGACAGGTGGAGTAAGACTGAGTCATTTAGTTGTGGTCAAAATGAAATAAGAGACATGCAAACCTTTTGGAAGATTGTAAGCCTTAAATAAATGGTAGCTATCATTATCATCACCGCCACCACACCACTATTTTAAAAGTTCACTGAGAATGACTTCCTGAGTTGTGGCTGACCTACGTATCCATCTATCATCTATTTATCATCTTCAATATTGATGATATTCATCTCCAAAGTGATAGACATTTAGAAAGCAGAGATCAAGTAATAAATAGCTATCTGGAGAATTGAATCGACTAACAAATACTTTGAGAACACTTAAAAATAGTTTATTTAATTATGGATTTTTTTGGAAAATAGAACAGAAAGAACAATTTTATGATAAACTATATGAAATTGAAAACTCTATATTTAACAAACAAATTGACACTTCAAAGTTTAAGAAAATTTCCTCCAACATTAGTGTCAATTTTTTATGCCAGGCGAACTCACTCTTATTTTTCTTATACTTTAATGGATTTAATGACAAGAATAATTGGTCATTAGCTGCATTCCTGCTCTGTTGATTTACGGTCTTCAAAACAGCAGCTTCAGTAAAATGAAGACAAATCCAAGATTTAGAAAACAAACCTTACTCTTTGACTAATTGTGATTAGACTTTACACATATTTCTTTCCATTGTACAAAGGTTTCTCTGGTTGAGTAATAATACTTTAAGAAAAATTTGTTAATATATTTTAAAAATAAGTTGTAAATTAAATATAAAAAATAAAAAAATTGTAGTTTTAGACATTAAAAAGAAAAATTTATGATCCATTTCTGAAATATCCTTTGTAGTATACTGTTCTCTTTAACCAAACACACTCATATTTCATAATTATAATTGGTAGCACTATTCTGAGAAAATAGTTAATTTTGTGAAAACATGATGGATTCAATAGAAGAATAAAACCAAAATTGATGATCCTAATCCTGAACATACAGAACTTTTACTTAACCTTATTGGAATTGACTGTAAAATAATTCTATACAGAAGAAACTTGTTGAACAATTTGGCTATTATAATCTTTTACCATAAAATCATTGAATATATTTGCTCCCTGAAACATATTTCTTTGATATGGGAAATAATAGATATGCTGTGATTGTACCAAAAGCATATGAATTCAATTGTACGATTTATTTTAGATTGTGTTTTAATGTTTATTACCTGCTTGGTGATAAACCCCAAGTAGTTTACAAATTTAGAACTTTAATGATTTTCTGAAAATGTTTGTACACAGTCTAGATGGGATAATTGAGAGTTAATATTCAGAAAATGTTGAGACATTTGATAGTGGATTCTACTCTCCTTCTCTCTATATTTTTTAGAATGTTTATTTTTTTAATTTCAGCATATTATGTGGGTACAAATGTTTAGGTTACATGTGTTGCCTTCCCCCCCTCCCTTCCCCAATGGAGTCAGAGCTTTAAGCATGTCCATCCCCCAGATGGTGCCCATCACACTCATTATGTATGTATATACCCATCCCCTCCTCCCCCCTCCCATCTGCCTGACACCTGATAAATGTTATTCCTATATGTCCACTTAGGTGTTGATCAATTAATACCAATTTGCTGGTGAGTACATGTGGTGCTTATTTTTCCATTCTTGGGATACTTCACTTAGTAGTATGGGTTCCAGTTCTACCCAGGAAAATACAAGAGGTGCTATATCACCATTGTTTCTTAAAGCTGAATAGTACTCCATGGTATACATATAGCACATTTTATTAATCCACTCATGTATTGATGGTCACTTGGGTTGTTTCCACATCTTTGCACTTGTGAATTTTGCTGCTATAAACATTTGAGTGCAGGTGTCTTTTTTATAGAATCTCTTTTGTTCTTTTGGGTAGAAGCCCTGTAATGGGATTGCTGGATCAAACGGTAGATCTACTTGTGTTGCTTTGAGGTATCTCCATATTGCTTTCCACAGAGGCTGCACTAGTTTGCAGTCCCACCAGCAATGTATGAGTGTTCCTATCTCTCTGCATCCATGCCAACATTTGTTGTTTTGGGACTTTTCAATAAAGTCCATTCTCACTGGAGATAAGTGATATCTCATTGTGGTTTTGATTTGCATTTTCCTGATGATAGCATTTTTTTCATATATTTGCTGGCCATTATTCTGTCTTCTTTTGGAAAGTTTCTGTTCATTTACTTTGCCCACTTTTTGATAGGGTTGTTTGATTTTTTCTTGCTGATTTTCCTGAGTTCTAAATAAATTCTAGTTATCAGCCTTTTATAGGATGTATAGCTTGTAAAAGTCTTCTCCCATTCTGTAGGGTGTCTGTTTGCTCTCGTGACAGTTTCTTTGGCTGTGCAGAAGATTTTTAATTTTATCAGGTCCCATTTATTTATTTCTGTTGATGCTGTGATTGTCTTTGGGTCTGGCACAAGAACAGGGACATTGACCAGAGGAACAGAACAGAGAACCCAGATATAAAACCATCCTCATATAGCCATCTAATCTTTGACAAAGCAGACAAAAACATACACTGGGGAAAAGAATCCTTATTCAATAAATGGTGCTGGGAAAACTGGATAGCCACATGTAGAAGACTGAAACAGGATCCACACCTTTCACCTCACAAAAATCAACTCATGCTGGGTAACAGACTTGAAACTTAGCTGTGAAATTATTAGAATTGTAGAGGAAAACTTTGGAAATACTCTTCTAGACATTGGCCTACTACTCATATCTTTATCTTGGAAAGAACTTCTTAGAGGAAAATGGCTACACTTGTTTGTTTTTAGTTTTTATTTGTGTGGATTATTTTTTTTCCATTCCTTCGCCTTGAGTCTGTGTGAGTCCTTGTGTTTTAGATATATTTCGTGGAGATAGCAAATACTAGAAAACACAATCCTAGAGTTCATATGGAACCAAAAAGAGGCTGAATAAACTAAGCAGTCCTAAGCAAAAGGACAAATATGAAAGCATCACATTATCTAAATTCAGACTTAAGGCTATAGTAGCTAAAACAGCATTGTACTGCTACAAAGGTAGAAACACAACAGTGAAATAAAATAGAGAACCCAGAAATAAATCCATATAGCTAGAACCAACTGATTTTCAACAAAGGAGACAAAAAAAAAATACACTGTGGAAAGAATGCCCTATTCAATAAATGGAGGTTGGAAAATTGGATAGCCACATGCAGAATAATGAAACAGGATCCCTATCTTTTGCCATATACAAAAATGAACTAAAATTTAAATTAAAAATTAAAGACTTAAATGTAAGGCATAAAACCATAAAAATTCTAGAAGAAAATGTAGAGAAAACTTATTTATTTATTTTTGAGACAGAGTCTCACTTTGTTGCCCAGCCTAGAGTGAGTGCTGTGGCGTCAGCCTGGCTCACAGCAACCTCAAACTCCTGGGCTCAAGCCTCAAACTCCTGGGCTCCTGCCTCAGCCTCCCAAGTAGCTGGGACTACAGGCACGCGCCACCATGCCCGGCTAATTTTTTCTATATATATTACTTGGCCAATTAATTTCTTTCTATTTATAGTAGAGACGGGGTCTCGCTCTTGCTCAGGTTGGTTTCGAACTCCTGAGCTCAAACGATCTGCCCGCCTCGGCCTCCCAGTGAGCTCAGATTACAGGTGTGAGCCACCACGCCCGGCCGGGAAAACTCTTTTAGACATCAGCCTAGGCAAGTAATTTATGACTAAGACCCCAAAGCAAATATAACAACAGAAAAAATAAATAGACTTAATTAAAAGACTTTTGTACAGCAAAGGAAATAAGAGAGTGAATAGACAACCTACAGAATGGAAGACAATATTTGCAAACTATACATCCAACAAAGGACTGATATCCAGAATCTACAAAGAGCTCAAACAAATCAGCAACAAAAAAAAATAACCCCATCCAA